GAGGGCAGCAGTCGGGAACGCAGGGTGCCTCTGGGCGGCCCCCGTGCCCTGGAGCGCAGAAAAGGCGCTCGTGTTTGAGCTACCTGGGAAAGTAAACAGGTAAACACTGGGCCGACTTAGAGGGCCACTTGTCCTGGAGTGGGGCCACTTAGCCTGTGTACATTCGCCTCCCCTCCCGGGCCTCCGGCGATTGTTCAGCCTCCCCGCGCCTGCTCCAGACGCCTGAGCCCGAACTCAATTTGTTGCGGAACCCAGAGCAGCAGAGCGAGAGAGGCTTTCCTCTAGGGTCCAGGGGCACAGGTTCTCTTCCTCCCCTCTCTTGCCTTTCTCCCGGGCCTAGGACTCCCAATGCATCCGTTCTCAATCTAGGAAGAATGAATAGAGTTAGAGATGTGTACGGAACCTGGAGCCCCAATGCAGATAATAAAGATGGAGTTGGAGGATCCAGTTTTTCAGGTGACCCCAGCAGGGGTGTGCGGTGTTCGGGACGCTAAGGAGACGCCAAGCAAATCTCCTCCGGCCCGGGGCAAGCTGGGTTCAGAACTTCCAGCACCCGCCTCAACTTCCTCCCCAAGCACGCAGCAGAACGAGGCATCTTGCAGAGTACCTACCAGGTCTCCAGACCACGGCAGCTGAGCCCAAAGCTCAAACCCAAACTTGACGGATTGGAGGACATTGAACTCGCTTGGGTGCAAGATGGTACCTGGAAAGAATTTACTAAAGAATGCAGAGTGGGGGAGACGAGAGGTCATCCAAGTGGAGCTGAAACTGGTGCAGGCAGACGCTGACAGGGTGGGGGTGGTGGGCCGTTACTGAAGAACTCTTCGGAGGGTGAAGCGAGTGGGGCAGGGCCTCTCAGCCTTAGGAGTGTGCGGGATCGCAGGGAACCGAAGGTCCCGGGCTCTAAAAGGCCGAGCTGTGGTACTCGCGGGGAAGCCTCTTGGGGAGTCCTCAGGATGCAATCACCTGTTTAACTGGGGCAGAAAAGGTGCTTTTGGCCCCTGGCCCCTAGGCCCTTTGGGCTCAAGCCGGGCCCAAGAAATTGAGGAGACATTGGACTGCGTTCTGGGTACCGGACTTGCCCTGGCCGCCAGCTGGGTCTGCGCAGGCCTCCCGGCGTCCACAGGCCGCTCCTGGGGGACTTGCATTTTATGATCTTCCACTAACAAGCCCAGTTTCTCCCCTCCAATTACGGGCCTCCCAGCGGTCTCCCTGCGCCTTTTCAATTGCAAATGTTAACGCTCTGGAAACGGACGCTGGAACCACACGGGCGAAAAAGTGATGGGGAAATGGAGTCTCGAGGTCCCGGGAGAGGCTGAGTGCTGTGGACCCGGCAGCACCGATCGCGGAGGAGGCAAGGCCGAAGCTCTCTCCAGTTCTCTCCCTCCCTGCCCAACTGCCCCAGGCCAGGGGAAAGAAAAACTGGAAGAGTCGCTGGGGTGAGAGTGTAGGAGGGGCCGGCGGCCTGCAAGGGCAGGGGAAGAGGGCGTCTCCGGTGCTCCGGCAAGAGGACACCTCAAGCTGAGACCCAGAAGGATTCGGCTGGTCATTGAGGCTAAGGGGCAAGCGCAAGGGCAAACCCGGCCTTTGAGAACTGGGCTGAGGGCCTCCTTCTCTAGGCGCCTATGGCGGCACCCCTTCCCCATGATTAATTCCAGGAGCCAGGGTTCCCCTAGGAAAGCAATCCTCTCTCAGGTGCTCTGGGGACCTTGCAGGCTCCCACGGGTGAGGGGAGGAGACTTGATCAGTAGCAGCGGTGCCGATTTAGACCCTGGGAAGAAAGGCCCACTATGCTGGGGCAGGGGGAGAGAAGTTGGGAACTACATGCAACTTCAGCGAGGTGGCTCCCAGCTGAAGAAATGAACACGCTTTGGGAGGCCTCTGCGGGCACTCCCCCGCCTAAGATGGCTCTGGGGATATGCGAGAAACGACACTTGCTGCCAAAGACCCCTTTGCCACCCGACCCAAGAATTTGCCTGGCCCAACCAGGCCCTATTCTGGGCCCCCATCCTGGTGGCTGCCCTGGTCCCCAAGAGAGCCTCCACCCCCTTAGGACTGAGGAATAAGAGGAGGAACAAAAGGAGGGTCTTTGCTGCAACGCTTGGGATGAGAAACTTTTTTTCTCACCAGTTATTTATTTAGCAACTGAGTAACAATAGCAGTGGCAGGCCCACCCCCGCCCCTGGATCCAAACTCGGCGCTTCCCGACTCCTGGAGAACCAACTTCCCTCCTCCGACGGGGCAGAGCGACGAGCTCCCACGTGAAAGGGGCGGGTGGGAAGGCCTGAGAAAGACAGAGATGGAAAGCGAGAAAAAAAAAAAAAAAAAAAGCACGAAAAGTAATAGGTTCGAGGAACACGCATCAGTTTCTAATTCTTCCAGGAGAAAAAAAGGGGGTAAGGAGGGGGAGAAAGGAGAAAAGAAAAAGTAGGAGGAGAAAGAGGAATCGGGGAGCGTCGACATGAAGGGGTTTCCTTAATATTGTGGACGGATTCAGAAATGAATGAAGAGATAGTCCATTGAAAAGGGTTGAATGCCATGACAACTAGGAACAACCTTAGATTTATTCCAAACAGTTAGGACACATTGAAAGAGAGCGTCAATCATGTATTATTTCGCCACTGAAATAAATGCAAAAACCGAGCTGGGACAAAGGCTTCCAACGGGAGCGGGACATTTGTCTACATTTCGCTCATTGTCCGCAGCTTAGCAATCGGTTTGTATTTGTGTTTGCCCGGGTCCGACCACCCAGGACGTGCCGACGAGGGGCTCGCTCTAACCTGGGCCATTGTCACCCACGTCACATACTGGGGACGAGGCAGCGAGGGCTGCAGAAAGCCGCCGAGCGGCTAAGGGAGAGGTGCCCTCACCCGGCGCTGGCAACCCGGGGGCAGCCGGGGCTCGGCGGCGGCTGCGGCAGCTGCGCCCAAGGAGGACTCGGCGCCCGCGCGCTCAGCTCGACCCGAGCCCAGGCAGTCCAGGTTGTGGGAAGACTAGACCTGGACCCCGCAGGGGCGGCCTTCTGTGCTCCTCCCCGCCCCCAGACAAAGCTCCTTCCTGACACTTGTCTGGGGCGAACGAGCATCAGGTAGCCATTCTACCTCCCCGCACCCCCCCCAAAAAAATTTTTAACCTTGAGTGCGGCGTGGTCTTTTCCAACCCCAGCGCCGAGGAGGAGGTGCAAGTCCCGGGAAAGTTCAGTTCCCAGAGCGGAGAGTGGTTGGAAACTTCACACTAACCTGACTTAACCTGGAAACGTGGAGCGCGTACTCCGAACGCGCTCAGGGCATCCAAAAGGAGACCACATTAAAGAACTCGCGTGGGAGAAGAAAACGGGGGAGAAAACGCAGCATCGTCGGGCCACCCAGCAACCCCCCCTCCCCCGCAGCTTTCTGGGTCCTCACCCAGGCTGGAGACACAACCCCCACCCCCACCTCCGCAATCCCGCCCAGCCGCCTTCCCGCTGCTCCACCTCTAGCCGGAGGCTGGAGAGGGAGGGGACCGGAGAGGGAGGGATAATAGAGGGCAGGAAAGAGCAGGGCCGTCTGCCCTTTCCTCCACCCGGGGAAAGAGGCCCGCAGAGCCCAGAGGCAGCGGGGCCAGGGTCCGACCCCAGCCGAAGTTAGAGCTCCTCACTCTTACCCCGCCCTCCCCGGGACCGCCCGCAAAGCAGAAAGTGAACTGCGCGTCCTCCTTGGCCGCAAAGAGGTGGAGGCGGGGGGTTAGGGGTGGGAGGTAGGGGGAGGCGGAGTGAAGGAAATAAATGAGTCTTTAGCAAATAAAGGGCGGCTGGAAGGGGGCGGGTCGCTTGATGGTGGCTCTGGCCCGCCCGGAGCGGAGCTCTCTCCTGGGTTTCGGGCTCTCTCGCGGTTAACTGGAATCAATTACTTGCCTTGTCATTTCTAGCACTCATCCTTAAGCCTCAACCAAAATATTGACCTAGGAGGCTTACAGAAGTTGGGCTCTTGCCATTTGAACCGGATCTTGTTTAGGGAACCACCAGCGATGGAAAGGAGAGATTTCCGCAGCTCGGCCTTCGCCCCCTCCCCCTTTTCCAAAGGAGCCACAAATCGCCAATTTTCCGGCTTGCTGGGGGTGGGTGCGCGGGGGCGGGGAGGTAGGAACCGGTGAATGTTAAAGAGGATTTTTCCCTCCTCCTGGTTTCTGTTTTGTTTTCTCTCCTCCTCCTCCCCACCCCCACCTTTTTTAAGATTCAATTTGTTAAAACGGCCCTTTCAAGTGTGTGGACTCGCGAGCGACGCGGTGGCCCTTTGTATGTAAATACTGGGTTTTTAAAAAAAAAAAAAAAGGCTCGCCCCGTCTTTGCAATTAATTGACACGTTACACCTCTCATCTTGCTCTAGAGGGCCTTTGGCTGGGAGCGCGGAGCTCCCCAAAACCCACAATTTCACATCTGCAAATACTGTCTTCATCCACTTGACTCCCAAGACCCGCCCACACGTGGCCAACCTTTGCGTTTTTAATGTCTCTTCCCCCTTTTTTCCACCCTTCTCCCGCTCCCTCTCTCCCTCCCCCTCCCTCCCTCTTTCTTTCCCTCCCTCCCTCTCTTTCTCCCCCTCTCCCCCCCTCCCCAGGTTCGTGAGTGGAGCCCAGCCTTATATGGACTGATCGCTCGGGCAATGGCCCATTTTTTCCTCGCCACCAGCCGCCACCGCGCGCCGAGCGGCCGCCTGAGCCCAAGCTGACGCCGCCTTGGCACCCCTCCTGGAGTTACAAACTAAGGCCGGGGCCCGCGGCGCTCGGCGCGCAGGCCGCCCGGCTCCCTGCGTCCATTTCCGAGTGCTTTCAAAGAAGACAGAGGCACTGGGTTGGGCTTCATTTTTTCCCTCCCCATCCCCAGTTTCTTTCTCTTTTTAAAAATAATAATTATCCCAATAATTAAAGCCAATTCCCCCCTCCCCTCCCCCAGTCCCTCCCCCCAGCTCCCCCCTCCCCCGCCCGCCGGGGCTGGGGAGCGCCACGAATTGACCAAGTGAAGCTACAACTTTGCGACATAAATTTTGGGGTCTGGAACCATGTCGCTGACCAACACAAAGACGGGGTTTTCGGTCAAGGACATCTTAGACCTGCCGGACACCAACGATGAGGAGGGCTCTGTGGCCGAAGGGCCGGAGGAAGAGAACGAGGGGCCCGAGCCAGCCAAGAGGGCCGGGCCGCTGGGGCAGGGCGCCCTGGACGCGGTGCAGAGCCTGCCCCTGAAGAACCCCTTCTACGACAGCAGCGACAACCCGTACACGCGCTGGCTGGCCAGCACCGAGGGCCTCCAGTACTCCCGTAAGTAGCAAAACTTGGCTGCCGAGGCCGTGGTCCCCTCCATTCCTGCGGCCGCAGCCTGGGCTGGACGCTGGGAGTGAAAAGGGAAGGAGCCATGTAAGCCCAGACCCCCTCACCCGGATTCCTAGAAAGATTTTAAACACTTGTATAGGATGTCCTCTGCCCTCCTCTTCAAGCCCCCTTAGTTCCGGGAAAGAACTTGGTCTCCAAAATTTATTTTCAACGCGAGAAATTAAGGAGAAAGAGGGAGAAGGGCTATACCTCCCAGGGGCTGGTATGTGATGTCAACCGGGACTGATGGCTCCAGCCGCAGCCCCCGGACTCCGGCCGCTGGGAGGGACTGGCCTGGCGCCCTGGAGGTAGTCAGCGAGCCTCGTCCGGGTACGGGTGGAGGGTGGGGAGGCTTTGGGTGGCCCGGGTATAAATAGCTCACCCTGCCCCCTGCGCGATCATAGAGGACGCTTTGTGCGGTGCAGGGGGTGTCTAGAAGGCCCGAAAGCAGAAACGAAAGCCCCCAAAAACCTGCCTTAAATGACCAAGCCGATCAATGCTGGGATTGTGGGGGTTTTCTTTTAAAAATCTGCCCACGTCTCTCCGGAGAGGAAACCGCTTAAGGGGGCCGGAGCCCTTAACCCGCGATGATCTTCAGTGCGCCACTCCCCCCAAAATTCTTACCCACGCTATGTGAGCCCCTTGAAACGCGAGCCCCTAGGCCCCACTCCTGCGAATTTCCCTCTTTACCCTGGGAGGCCTCGACGTCCTCGTGAGGCGTAGAGCAAGGCAGGGGTCACGGCAAAGGCAGCGGGGCTGGGCTGCCAGGCGCGGAGGTCCAGGGTCGCACGAAGGATTCAGGGTGCTCCGAGTCTGGTGCAGGCTGCGCGCGGCCTCCAGACGCCTGACGCGCTTCTCTCTCCCCCTCCCCCCAGTGCACGGTCTGGCGGCAGGCGCGCCCCCTCAGGACTCAAGCTCCAAGTCCCCGGAGCCCTCGGCCGACGAGTCACCGGACAATGACAAGGAGACCCCGGGCGGCGGGGGGGACGCCGGCAAGAAGCGGAAGCGGCGGGTGCTTTTCTCCAAGGCGCAGACCTACGAGCTGGAGCGGCGCTTTCGGCAGCAGAGGTACCTGTCGGCGCCGGAGCGCGAGCACCTGGCCAGCCTCATTCGCCTCACGCCCACGCAGGTCAAGATCTGGTTCCAGAACCACCGCTACAAGATGAAGCGCGCCCGGGCCGAGAAAGGTATGGAGGTGACGCCCCTGCCCTCGCCGCGCCGGGTGGCTGTGCCCGTCTTGGTCAGGGACGGCAAACCGTGCCACGCGCTCAAAGCCCAGGACCTGGCAGCCGCCACCTTCCAGGCGGGCATTCCCTTTTCGGCCTACAGCGCGCAGTCGCTGCAGCACATGCAGTACAACGCCCAGTACAGCTCGGCCAGCACCCCCCAGTACCCGACAGCACACCCCCTGGTCCAGGCCCAGCAGTGGACTTGGTGAGCGCCGCCCCAACGAGACTCGCGGCCCCAGGCCCAGGCCCCACCCTGGCGGCGGTGGCGGCGAGGAGGCCTCGGTCCTTATGGTGGTTATTACTATTATTATAATTATTATTATGGAGTCGAGTTGACTCTCGGCTCCATTAGGGAGGCATCGGGAGGTTGCCTGCGTCTCCTTGGAGTGGCAGATTCCATCCACCCAGTTCTGCCCATGCCTCTCCTTCTGAACCTTTGGAGAGGGCCGAACTCTACGCCGTGTTTACAGAATGTTTGCGCAGCTTCGCTTCTTTGCCTCTCCCCGGGGGGACCAAACCGTCCCAGCGTTAATGTCGTCACTTGAAAAAGAGAAAACGACCGACTCCCCACCCCTGCTTTCGTGAATTTTGTAAAATATGTTTGTGTGAGTAGCGACATTGTCAGCCGTCTTCTAAAGCAAGTGGAGAACACTTTAAAAATATAGAGAATTTCTTCCTTTTTTAAAAAAATAAGAAAATGCTAAATATTTATGGCCATGTAAACGTTCTGACAACTGGTGGCAGATTTCGCTTTTCGTTGTAAATATCGGTGGTGATTGTTGCCAAAATGACCTTCAGGATGGGCCTGTTTCCCTTCTGGGTCCAACTCCTTTCTTTGTGGTTTGTTTGGTTTTGGTTACGTTTGCGTTTTCCCCTGCTTTCTTCCTTTCTCTTTTTATTTTATTGTGCAAACATTTCTCAAATATGGAAAAGAAAACCCTGTAGGCAGGGAGCCCCCTGCCCTGTCCTCCGGGCCTTGAGCCCTGAACTAGGAGCTCAGCTATTCGGCGCGGTTCCCCAAGAGCGCCGGGCGCAGAAAGCTTTCGATTTTTTAAATAAGAATTTTAATAAAAATCCTGTGTTTAAAAAAGAAAAAAAGAAAAAAGCCCTGCCCTCCCATTTGTCTGACTTTGTCGCCCTGCGCCGGGCCGGAGGCCTGGGGCTGGGAACCAGGCCTGGCCCCCCGCGGGGCTCCCACGGGCGGTTCCTCTCGGGTGGGGAGGCCGGGGCACAGGGGCCCTGGGGCGGGCGGGGCTCCCGGTGCAGACCCCTCCGACCACAGGCTGCACCCGGCGCCTAGGGTTGAGGCGGGGACGGGAACGCTCGGCTTCCGGCCTGCGAGCGGTCAGCCCGAAGCCCAGGGTCGCCCACCCTCTCCCCGGCCTCTCCCCTGGTCTGGCGCGCTGTCTGAACCCCGGGCGGCAGCGTCCGGCTGCGGGAGGAAAAGTGACTTCGGGAGCCGCAAAGGCGAGGAGAGCAAACCCCCCTCGCTGGCCCAAATCTACGAGTGGCTTCTTCAGCCTGAGAAGCTGTTGAAGCCACTACACTCGATGACTTTCACTTTGTTACGTTTGACTTATCTCACGCTAAGAAAGTGGGTGGGTGGGGGTCTGAGGTTAAGACTGGCTGCCTTCTCCCCAATCCCCACCCCTTTTCAAAGTCTGCCGGCTGATGCTGACCTAGGAGATCGCTAAGGCCGGGGGTGGGAGCGATCAGGGCGAGCTAGGCTTTGGCTTAGGGGGTGTGGGGGAAGTACGCGGGGTCCTGGGCTCGGGGGAGGGAGGGGATCCTGCAGCCCTCTCTAGGCTCTTTGGCCCCAGGAAGCCAGGGAGCGAGAGTCTTTGGCAATCCTAGAAAACCGTGCCTCCCCCTTCCCTTCCGCTCCCATCCTTTCCGGGCTTCCTGGCCTCTCTCCGGGGACTGGATCCCGGGCCTCCTTCCCTCCAGCGTTCGGTGGTGTGCGGTCCCCGCAGGTCAGCCCTGGGCGTGGGACTGGGTGGATTGCTAGGAAGTAGAGGTTTGGGGGTGCGGTGAGCGCCCCGGACGGGAGGCAGGCACACAGCCCCGGGCTCGCCCGGGAAGGGCGCATCCATCTTTCCGGTGGGGAACTGATTCCATCCCACCCTTGTCGCTGGGGGCAGATCTCCTTGGCGGATGCTCGCGCACACTTGGCCACGCGGGGGAGCGTCTTAGGAAGCCTGGCAAACTGGAGGACCAGCCGTTCTCCTCTACCTCGCGGGTTTCTAAAAATACTTGGGGCTCTGTAGCTCAGAGCCCAGCGGGTGCTGGAGACGCCGGGGGACTGAAAGTCGGCGCATTTGGAAATTGTATCTCTGTTCTCTCCGAAGCTGCACCATCAAGGCTGGGAGTGGTGTGGCAATGAGGAGGCCGGGCAAAGGGAGCGGTCCCAGCTGACTTTCTCGCTCCCTCTAGTTGATGATCAGGTTTAATTCAATATCTAAAGCAAACATGATTATCCGTGCGACCAAATCTGCGCGTCGATAGCACTCAGCGCAGAAGCCCAGGGACGCGATGACACTTTATTCCCGCGTTCCACACCGCCCCTGGATAATTGAGGGCTCGGGAGTCTTTCTAATACCCCAGTAAAGGTCCTTTCCCATCTCCAGGCTCATCCTTGGGGAAAGGGCAGTTTTTCTAAATGCTAAAAGGTCTCCCTTTGTTCTCCACACTACCTTGGCAATGTTTGGGGGCTTATGTCTTGCGGTTTTGAAAGGCCAACGAATTTCTCCCAAATACTTTTTTGTGCAATAATTGAATGCCCAACATGCCCTGGTACTAACCACTCAACATCCACCTGCAACTTCCCCTAATCCCAAAATCCTCTGGGAGGAAAGGTGGGGGTTTCAAGTCTCTTGGAGCGGAGTTGTCAGAAGGCCTGAAGAAATTTTGACTCTTCCAGGCCCCAGGGCTTCCAGGGTGAGAATGATCACAAGAGACCCCCAGGTTTCCAGAGAGGAAGGGGGAAGCGTGGAAGGTCCTCACCCTGGCAGGCTTCCACCGCTTGCTCATTGAGGACACATTTGGAGCGGTGGCCAGGACCACGGGCCTGCAATCTGGGTGTGCGCTTCTGCGGCCGGCCGAGAGCCCGGGAGGTGGGCCCGGCGCCCGCCTCTCTCTGTCCTCGGGTCCCCACGGAGTCAATAAAAGCGCCTGCGGAGCCCTGTGTGGCCCTAACCTCAGCGCCCTGGGAGCGCACCCGGCGCGGGGTCCGCTTCAGCAGTCTATCTTCGCCCAATCTACAGCGGGCGGTACAAAACCGCACAATGGGAAAGCTGGGAGCCGGAGATGTTAGAGGCGTGCATATTAAAAAGAGACAGAGAAAGGATCGAGGGGACAGAGAGAGGGGAAGAAGGAGAAGGGGCCCGCCCCCCACCCCCCGCCCCACCCCGCACCATTCAGCGCGCTTATCGCGGGCAGTGAATCCCGGAGTCAGGCAGAAGTCTCCTTGGGGTTTTGTTGGGCCTGTCACTGGGTCCCTTTGTCATCCGCGGGCTCCATGCTGGATTCCATATGGCCAGCTGGGCTGAGGGAGCGCGAGGAGGGACCCGCACAAAACCTAAATTGTGTCCGGCTTTCAAACCCTGTATTGTTGTCTGTGAAAGGAAGACGCATTAAAAATTCGTGCTATATCTATTGGGGAGGAGGTTGGAGGAGGGGAGAAAAAGCCACCCCTGTCTTTGATGGCTTCGGAGGGCGCTTGCCCCGCCTAGGCCCCGTGACACTGAAAGCTGGATCTCTCTTATTCTCTCTCTCAAAATCTCTCTTTTTCTCTCCTCTCATAATCTCTCTCTCATAATCTCTTTCTCTACTTTCATAATCTCTTACTCTCATAATCTCTCTCTCTCTCTTCCTCACTTCTCTCCTTCCTTTCTTCTTCTCTCTCCTTGACGCTAACGCTGGGACGGGAGTCCGCGAACCTGCGCCTTCAGGGTTTGGGCTCACTTGTGCCCACTTTGCTCACTCCTGTGTGTGTATCAGGAAACTAACTTCTGCCTGGGAGCTCTGCACCATCGGGTCGTCCTGGGGCTCAGGAGGCAACTCAGGGTACCCAGGGCCTGGGTGATGCTCGATCCCCTAGGGGCTTAGCGGCTCCTGGGTAGATGAAAATCCACCCCCCTGATTTCGCAACCCACCGGCCCCGAAGGGCCCGCGCGCCGAGCTGCCCTTCCACTCACCGCGAGAAAGGTTCTGAGAGGCCAAGGGCGCCGCTCAGTCCCGGGCCCAACTATACTTGGGCTGCAGCCTGTTCCAAGGCGACTTGCGCCCGGCCGGGCCACTTCGTTACCAACCCCAAAGAGCTAAAGACGCGCGGGTTCATTTGAATTACGCGCGGGGGTCCATCCCACTGGCCTCTTGGTGCGATGGGAAACCACTTCAGAAACTTCTTCCAACAGCGTCTCTCCCCATGTTGGAGGAGGGAGATACTTCCTCTTTAATTTTCAATGTCTCCTGTATCGTGTGCTTACAAAATTCAGTACCAGGGAGACACAGCAGGGCCTCCAAGGAATTTGCTCATTTTTCAAATTGTTCAAATTGTTCAAATTGGCGCGAGGCAGTCGGAAATAATCTGGGTCATGCCTTCTCCCCTGCCATTGCCAGGTCAAAACTCCCATAAGCAGTCCCCAAATAAACCATATGTACTAAACAAAAATAGTTGATGCTGAGCTCTGTGGAAATAAAAAATGGAACCCAGATATGTTCCCCACAAAGTCACTCAGCCCTTAATGAACAGAACTGAGCTGGTGGAAATTCCGACTAATGGGAAACTTGGATGCGCCCCCTTTCCTATTTAGTACAAGGGTCATATTTAGTAGAATCAGATAATTTGGTAAGAGTGGAAGCCCCCCTTCTCAACGTTCCCACCTCAGATTGGGAAATAACTTATTTCCTTACCTATTGACTGTTGGGCTTAGTTGAGACCTGGTGTGGATTTCTCGAGCCTTTTCAAGAGCCTGGTCATTGAAAAGCTAATCCAATATTTACCGAGCATAAGGACAGTGCTCAGACGTATTTATTAAGGCCCATCGCTAAGTGATTACTTGGACTGAAGACAGAGGCCAGGGGAGGGGGCGTCTAGGCGCACCAGATCCTTCCCAGTTGGGCTCTCCCCACCCAGAACCAGGAAGCCGGGAGCGCGCTTCTGCGGTGCTGACGTTCCACTCCCGGTGTTAAGTGGCGGGAGGATTAGATACTGTGCTGGGCGGTATTTCAGGAAATATGTACTTGTGGCTTCCTGAGAGGCCAGGCGCAGTGACACTCTAAACCGTGTCGATATATCATCTTTTATCCAGGATCTGCAAATAAACCCCTGATCCCCCCGGCGCATTATAGCCGCCGCTATCTCGCCAAGGAAGCGATCTGAGTTTTATTGCTTTCACCAACGCCCCAAGACACACACACACACACACACACACACACACACACACACACACACACTCCTCTCTCGCACTCTGATTTTTAAAGGTTCTGTTTTTTCCCTCCCGAGGCATCGTTATTAATAAAGAGGCGAATAGGCCTCAGCGCCGCCATCCGAGCAAGCGAAGAAATGCGGGCCTGCAGTCAAGGCCCGCGCGCGGATCCCGCGTCGGCTCCACGCGCCCCCTCGGGCGGGAGAACAGCGCGTGTGCCTCTTGCTGCCGCCGCCAGGAGGCGCCCGAGCCCCGCGTTCCCGAGCGTCTCTGCGCGCGGGTCTGGGCCGAGCTCGGGAGCCGCCGGGAGGCAACTGCGCATCAGCGGACTCGCGGCCCCGGTCGGAGCCGGGTGACTGGTGCCAGGAGGCGGCGGCGACTCGGAATCTTGGGGAGAGCCGCGAGTCAGACGGCGGCGGGTGCGCGGCTGCGTGGGAGGTGCGAGTGGACCTATCTTCTGCTGTGGTTTTCCTACCGTGCCTCTTCTCCACGTGCGTACCACCGCCAGTCCCAGCCCCGGTTTCCATCGTGTTTGGGCGCAGACCACAGCCGACTGGTCCAGGAGCGCTCTGGCCACTGGGAAGACCCCACTAGGCGCCGGGGCGCTTGGTCTCCGCAATCTCAGGGCCCCTGGCGGCGTCGGCCCCGCGGGTGGACACGGGGAGGGCGGTGCTACGAGGGCCTGGAGAGTGGGTGCCCGCGTGGGGAGGCGGCCCGGGGAGCGCAGGTGCGATGCGGAGGAGGGACCCGGTTTGGGTGCAGGTTTGCGGGGCGGGGGTTCTGGGAAGGAGAGACCCTCGCCTTCCGCCCGCCCTGGATCCGGGTCCCTCCGGACTCCCGGCTCCTGCCGTTCGCCGCCTAGAAGCGGGGCAGGGGCACCGTCCAGTCGCCAGGGGGAGACGCCGCGCCGACCCGGACCGTGGGGTCCGGGCCCGGGAGACAAGAACACCCCCACCCAGTAGAGCACCCCGGGCAACCCTCACTCCGTGCTAAGGCCTCGGCTAGCGTGCAGAGGTGTCCGGGAATGGAAAGGACACGAGGGTGTGGACGCCTCGCACTCCACTCACGCCTGGTGCCTTTCTGAGAGGCTAGGCGTGGGGCAGCGGGTAAGGGACAAGGGTGTGACATTCCTCAAGGTCCTCCCCCCAACAAGAGTAGGGCCTGCAGTTACAGCTTGATTCGTTGATTGTTGGGTGGAACCGCCTCACATCAAAGGCATCGTGGCTCCAAACACTGACCCCTTTATTTTCCTAAGCCCCCGCTTCAAAACCAGCTGTCGGTGGGCCGATGAGGGCGTCTGCAGTACCCAGACTTTCCGCGGGGCGGCGAGGTTGGATAAGAAAAGGCTTCCCGGCTGGGGCGCGGAGCGCAGCTCAGGCACCTGCGGGATTCGAGATATCCCCACGAGGTGTCTTCTACACCAGGGCTGCATTCCCTAAATAATGAAAACTCCCTGCCCTTGCACTTGGTGCCTGGAGTGCGATGAAGAGGCTGAAGGTATCCAGTCCTTCTCCCCTCCCTCCTCAGGCTGCTGATGTGACATGCGTGTAACTGTCACCCCACGCAGGACGTGGAACACTTCCACCAACCCAAAATGTTCCCTTCTAATGGAATAACGTGTTCTGTCCTAACAAAAGAATAGCTCAATACTTAAAAGTATCAGTTAAAAGCTGCAGATGAAAAATCCCGTCCGCCCTTTGTTGCTTGTTCTCGCCTGTGGTATTTTTACCTTTCTTCATAAAACGATACAAAGAAAGCCCCAGATCGCTGACCCCAACCTCTCTCGCACCTGAAGACGATGACCATCACTGATGCCACGTATTGAGCACCTTCTAGGCCAGGCGCCTTCTCCGTGCTTCTCCTCATCATCAAATCAGATCATCATAGCCAATCTGTCCTTCTGCAGAAGAGCCTGTTTCAGAGAAGTTAAGCACCCGATCTTATAATCAAGCCAGTGTTCTGACAAAGAAAAGTATTCTGGGAGTGGAGGTGGGATCTACCAGGGCATCCTGTCCTATTCCAGGAGAGTGGGCAGGGGTGGGGGAGGACATAGATGCCCTCCCACTCTGCAGAAGGCAGTTAGTTGGGTGGCTACTCCATGGGGCAGGGTTCTGCCAGTTCTTCTCTGGCAGCCAGTGCCCAGGTCCCATCCTGGTTGGTGGGGGCTGGGCCAACCCCTTGGCATCCTGGGGGAAGCCTGTATGTATACCAGCACCTCCACTGGGTGCCAAGTGGCCATCCTGGCCAGCGAGTGTCCCCTGAGAACTGAGGGGGAGTAGGCTGAGGGTCTACCTGAGGGGCACACTCTGATGCCTGTTCTCACTGCTGGGCCTGGGCCTTCCATGGTTTCAATGACATGAGCAACTCCCCTCTCCCCACAGGATGATAAAGGGCACCAAAAAAAAAAATAGATTTTTAAGTAGCCAATTCATCTTACTGCTTTAATTAAATGATTACCTTTTTGTCTAATGTGGGGAAAAGGTAAAATAAGTTAACATGTTCTTCTGGGTATAGTGTTGGGCTCCCTAATCTGAGAGATTTGCAAGTTTTTGTTTTGTTGAGACAGGATCTCGCTCTGACACCCAGGCTGTAGTTCAGTGATGCTATCATAGCTCATTGCATCCTTGAACTCCTGGGCTCAAAAGAGCCTCCTGTCTCAGCCTTCCCAAGAGCTGGGGCCACAGGTGTGCACCACCATGCCCAGCTATTTTTTATTTTTATATAGAGATGTGGTCTCACTGTGTTTCCCAGGTTGGTCTCCAACTCCTGGCCTCAAGCTATCCTCCCACCTTGGCCTCCCAAAGCACTGGGATTACAAATGTGAGCCACTGTGTCCAACCACAAGAATTATTAAAAGGAATTTTACTTAAGTATCTACTTCCAGATCTCTCCATGTTTTTTTTAACTCTGCTAGTTACAAAATAAAAGAATTACCTCATCAGCCTCTGTAGGGGAAGATGAATTGTGTGGAATGGGTTTGAAATGAAGGATAGTTAGATGTAGAAGGTAAAGCAAAAGGAATCAGCTTTTTGTGTCTGACAGAGGATCTGATACTTGATGGTCTGACCACAAGGTATCTCTCAGAAATTGCCAGTCCTTTTCACCCAGTGCACAGCCAGCTGCTTTGAGCAGAGAGAGCCATGGTTGGAACTCCTGCTTCGTGACTTGGGGGCGGAGGCAGAGCTTGCCGCTGAATGCAGCCACTGCCCACAACCCCTGCACACTCCTCTTCCCTTGCACTGGCTTCTTGCTGCCAGCATCTGCAAGTCTTTGCCTGGAGGTGGAGCAAGAGGGTGCTGGGCCCATTTGACAGGTGGCTAGTGCTGGAAGTTCATGGTCTTCACCCAGTTTCAGGTAGAGGTTGCAGGATATACGACCCAGCTTCCTGGCCCCAGGTGGAACAACCCTGAGACATGTTCGCCATTTCCCGCAGGCCTCCCAGTGGGACTGACCCCTAGTTGCCTTCAGTGGCAATCTGCTCATTACCACTTCTTGTGTTGATTTTTTTTTCCCTTCACTTTCTCATTTTTCCATTTCCTTGTTGGTCCCAATTAACTATTTGCACATGAATCTTTGCCTCAGGGTCTGCACCTGGGGGACCCCAAAGACACAGACACTTGAGCTCTTACTCTGCCTTTATCCTAGACCTAGCATTGGTCTCCAGAGGTCACTCATGACTTAATGGCCCATCTTAATGGCCTCTTTCCCCGTGTGTTCCTTGGTTGATGTGTCTTTCTGTACTAAGTAGAGTTTTTGGGTGGCAAGGAGGCAGTTAGCACAGGGAACTATGTAGCAAGGGACATGGAGACTAAATAGCAGCTGGCCCATTTCTCTGGCTTCTCATGGCCAAGCCTGGCACACACAGCTGCCCTCGTGCAGATCCAGAACTATGGCTCTTGTTCCCTCAGGACCCATCCTCAAAGCTAGTGACTTGGTCTTTTCCTATGACAAAGGAGCTCTCAGAATGTGGCAGTCCCCCTTCTTAGGGGGAGAATCTGACTGGGTCAGGGAGGCACCTCCAGTTTGCAGAGCCCCCATTGGTCAGGTTCAGTGTCCAAAACACCTGAGGGGCAAGTGGCTTCTTGAAGTCCAGCCCATATGGCTACTTTTGACTTAGACATTCAAGGCACAGGAACACATGACACAGGCACAGGGTGTGACAACTGCATGCAGAAAGAGCCACTCTCATTCCTCAGAAGAGGCTGTGGAGATGAGTGGCTGAGCCATGTGCCCCAAAATTCATGTCGAAGTCCTAACCCCCGGTGTCTTAAAATGTGGCCATATTTAGAGGTAGAACCTTTAAAGAGTGAGCTAGGTGAGAGTGATTCATAAGGAGAGGCCCTACTTCAGTGTGACTGGCGTCCTTAGGAGAAGAAGAAATTAGGGCGCAGACACACAGAGGGGACAGCGCGTGAGGACATGGGGAGGAAATGCCAGTTGCAAGCCAAGGAGAGAGGCCTCGGAAGAAACCAGCCCTCCTGATACCTTGATCCTAGACTTCCAGCCTCCAGAACTGTAAGAAAATACATTTCTGTTGTTTAAGCCACCTGGTCTTAGAGTTCTATCTTGAATTTCTCTCTGCTTTAGACTTTTCTGTTTTGTTTTTTAGCCTAAGTGTTATTGAAAAGAGCAGAGAAGATAGAGTGCAGGCCCCTAGAGACAGGATGGAACGGAACATGCAGTGTGAGTCTGCCTCCTGCTCAGCATACGCTCTTGGTCCCCACTGGTCCATCTCACTGCTGACTGGCATCCTGCAGAACAGACAGATTGCACAGGGGCAGCTCTTTCCTCCAAAGCTGCAATGTGGTTCATTAAGTCCTCAGATTTGGGAACTCATCCAGGCACTTGAGTTCAAACATACAGTTCTGATCTAAGACTTCACAGGTAAGAATATCCAAAAAGGTGAGCTTTCTCCCTGGAAACCATGATTTCCTCAGAAACAAGGAGAAATGTTTCAGCTGCCCAGGTTGCGGTTCCAAGTATGGAGGCTTCCATGTTTCATGGTCAGGGTCATGGTGGAGCTGTTTCAGCTGCAGGTGGGATGCCACCATTTGCTCCTCCCTGATGTCTCCTGGCACCTTTCATTCTTCAGTCGCACCACTCTGAAGAAGCGTGCTTGCGAGCGCCGCGGGACGATCCAGGACGTTCCAGGATTGTGGACGATCCTGTTCTTCCCATCTGTGAGGTAAGGCAGATTAGGAACATCCAGGTCCAGCCTGAATTTCACATCCAGCCATTGGCTGACACCAGGGGCTCCTGCAGATGAATCACCGTTTCCCCTCCCAGGAGCAGGCAGGTGGTCAGCGCCAGCCCCAGAACATCCCGGCCACCCATCTCCATAGGGCTTGGATGACATGATGATGCTCTCTGTGCCTTTGAGGACAGCGCCTTGGGTCTTTGTACACTAAATCCCACCTTGTCCTCTCCTCTAGTTGAAACAGCCATTTCCCAAATCCCAATCTGATGAAATCCTGTTCTTCCTTCCCTCATGTTTCTCTAGGTCTTCTTTGGACTCCCAGAATGTAAAGTCAGCATTCCCTTGAGCCTTTTGGGGACTTATAAGCACATTGCCCAAAGTCCACCTAACTCCAGGTGCATCCTGTAGAACCAGTATTCTAATTCCTACATTTAAAGGTCTTACAGGACCACAGGGTGTGCATAAAAAGCCTGCTGCGAATCAGAGTGCTTCAACTGAGTATTAATGAGATGGAGGAAAGGACGATGAGTCCCTGAGTAAATGGACTCCAGAGCCAAAGGTGTTCTCCACACAGAGAGAATGACTGTACCCAGGGAAGGAGCTCAGACTCACCTGGACAAGCCCTGAGGGGACAGCCATGTCCCAGTGTGGCTAGGAGGGTTTGGAGCTCTGGGCACGTACCCCATGTCTGCTTGATTCCCCTCCCACCAAGTTCTACTTAGGTGAGTTGTGCTCATTCTTGCTTTCCCAGGGCCTGGATCACAGTTCCTCAAGCTTTGTGATACAAACGAATCACCTGGGATTTGGATAAAATGCAGATTCATGTTCAGCAGCCCTGGCGTTCTGCATTTCTCATGAGCTCCAGGAAGACACTGGCGCTGCTGGGTGGTGAGGGATTGGCAGGCAATTCCAGGTGTTGCCTTAGAGATGGCCTGCTATTGCACTGCCAGTAGGTAGCTGCCACAGTGATGGCTGCTCCAGAGCAAGGGGAGAACCTTTTGAAAAGGATTCTTGAATCATCTGGGAAATAAATCAAGCCATATGAGTAAAAAGTAATCAAAAAATACATTGAATATTGGAACCAGAGGAAATCTTAGCATCATTTTGTAATGACTCCCTGCACAAATTTTCCAGATGAGGAAACTGACAAAGCCAGGTGGCCTGTGACTAAGGAGCAAGATGCTCAGCGAGGTCTCCCTGCTGCACTCCCGTGCACTTCCACAGTGATACCCTGCTGACAGACACAGGAAATGTTGAACATAGCTATCTTTAAAATTAAGACCATGACTGCCCTAAACATTTACAAAGGACCAACCATGAGAAAAAAGCCTGTACCAGAAATCAGAAGATGGCTTTTGTCCATGTACAACCTTGGACGAGTTAATTACTTATCAGTGCTCTCTGAGCCTTTTTCCCCACTGGTTACAAAAAAAGAAAAGAAAAGAAAAGGATATGCCTGCCCTTCCTAATTCACAGGGCATTGCAGGGAGGTAAGGTAGTTAATATGCTGAATCACTTCAAAAGGGTGGAGCTGAACTCACAGTGGGAACCCTGTCACACACACATTTCCATGACAAGGATATTGGTGAGGTGAGGGAGGTGGGGAGAGGCATGAGGATGGGAGACAAAGGGGTGGGATAGGGAATGGGGGAAGGAGGAAGCCAGAGGGACAGGCCCAGGCTAGGCTCTGCAGTCAGAAGGTGAGCGAGGTAGAGAATTAGCAGCACACTGTCCATGGATATTTGTGGTGATGGAAATGTACTGTATCCATGCTCTCCAACATGGCAGCCACTAGCCACATGTGGCTATCAAGCACTGGAAATGTAGCTAGTGTGATTGAGGAACTGATCTTTAATTTTTCTTTGTTATTAATTTCAGTTTAAATAGCCACATGTGGCCAGTGGCTTCTGTAGCAAAGATCTAGATCATTTGTTTGAAGCAGTAAAAAGAGAAATGTGAATCCCCTCTTCTTACCTCCTATAACATGCTAATTAACATCACTGCAATTAACCACCATTCACAGCTCTTCAGCTGCTCTGTGGAACCTCAGCCCACTCTGAAATGAACAGCCACAGTGGCAGGGGTTACAGAATGGGCTGGGAGTGGCAATGCAGATTCATCTCTTCACACACTCTTTATGCCCTCAATCAAAAATGCCTCAGGCTGTGTAAAATTCCATAAATAATAAAGAGATTTAAAAAATATATTATGAGTCTTGATTGACTCCTTACTATATATCTGGCTGGAACTGGGGTGGGGGAGGCAAAGAGAGTGGCTGAGCACTCAGAAATGGCCATTACTGCTCAGCTGGAGGGAAGAATGGTGCCACCTTCCAGAGGTTCTTAACACTTTGTGTCCCACAGGCCCCTTTGCCAGGCTGAAGACTCCTATAGAACCCTTCCCAGAAGAGTGAGTTTAGGTTATAAAGTAAATTAGATTAAGAGGTAATTCTACCCCTTGGGGATGAGGGACTGCAGATTAAGGACTCTTACCCTGCAAAGAGTGACGGTGTCCCTTTGCTGAGGCACCCCTGCCCCTCCCCCACCAGCTGCCCTTTCTGCCAACCCTGGGCGAGTCGAGGAAAGGAGAGGACCAGCCAGGACTTCCCCCTCCCCTGGGAGGGGTGCCATGGAAGGCAGAGGACTGCTCTCTGTGTCAGAGCACCTGCGGTCACCATGGACTACAACACAGTGAGACAACAGAAGGAACAGTATTGAAGGGCAGCTGTGCCCTGAGGTAGAATTTTGGTCTTAATGGACATGTAGGCTGGGTGAGGGGCTGAGATGGACTGCAGCATTGGCTCTTACGTTAACCATTCCCCTCTCCCATCTCCTTCCTGTGAACATAATGGCATTTCATAAAATTAGGCATGCTATCAGCAAAAGGAGAAAATAATTTAACAAGGCAAATTGAAATACCACTCTTGATGCAAACACCCTTTTAAAGTTTGTCACCCTGATCCTATGCAATTAGACAAAGGAACTGCTGTCCAGCGCCTTCCCCAGACTCTCTAGGTGAAATGAAAGAGGCTCTAGTGGAGACTTGGCGGGTCAGGCCGGAGAGCCTGCCTGTGCAGGGGCTGCTGAAACAATGACTGAAGCTGGATTAATTAATCAAATGAGGAAGCGGATGAAAATCCGTGTTGCAGCAGCAACCCAGAGGGTTCACAGGCGGAGGCCGCAACATAAACAAGGCAATCCACACTTGTCTGAATCCTTACTGTTAATGAATATAAAGTTGGAGGATCATGTTCTGATTTGAGTTCAACTATGTGGCTGAAAAGTACGAGAAGACAATACTAGAGACTGCTTTAATAAAAATCCCAAAACAAAAAATTGGTAATGTTATAGTCAACAGGAAGTTATCCATTCTTACATGATTTTTTCTTTTTGTTTCCCCAACATTTATAATATATATATTTATGCCACAATATAGCCTTCATGAATTCTGATAAGGCTGGTCTTAAAAGCAAATTTCTTTCTTTAAACATTCTAATAACCCATCAATTTAAAAAGTTCTTCAGATTTTACAAGGCATAAAAGTTATTCAAATAGAATTTGGATGAATATTTTAATGACTGTTTAGTAATGGAATGAAGCTGTTCATGGTTGTGGCATGTACTAAAAACATACTTTTACATTTAATATCAACATTTTAGAGCTCTTTGCTGAAAATTTCCATAAAGTCTGTTTCTAAAATGTATTACGGGCCATTGCCTTTTCATAAAAGTGACACAGTATGCTACACCATTTTGTACACAATGAAACTCTTAATAAGCATTAAAAATATGTGTCCTTTCTGAGTTAAACAATTTAAATGCAGTGTGAATAACCACCAGAATTAAAAGCAGTCTCTGAGGTACTAGGCGAGGCAATTTAAACTGCTCATTTTGTGCCTCCTACATTGTTTGAATGTATATTTCTATATGCATAACTCCAACAATAATAACAAGAATAGCTAAAAATGTATCTTTCAAACACAGTTAACCAGAAAAATAAAAGGCAGTAATTTGAGACATAAAATTCTGAAACTATCCCAGATGACTTTTTAATATGAACAAAAATTCCTGCCTTTTATATCGGACTTCAGAAAGTAAAGGACATTACTAACTAAAACCTACCCATTTTTAAAAATTGGATTACTTGGCTAGCACAGTGACTCACACCTGTAATCCCAGCACTTCGGGAGGCCCAGGCAGGCGGATCACCTGAGGTCAGGAGTTCGAGACCAGCCTAGCCAACATGGTGAAACACTGTCTCTACTAAAAATACAAAAATTAGCCAGATGTGCTGACTCACACCTGTAATCCCAGCTACTCGGGAGGCTGAGGCAGGAGAATTGCTTGAACCCAGGAGGCGGTGGTTGCAGTACGCCGAGATCACGCCACTACATTCCAGCCTGGGCAACAGAGCAAGACTCCCTCTCAAAAAAAAAAAAAAAAAATGTTATTTATCCTTAATAATTCCAGACTCACTAAGGATCACCCAATAATTGATTATACTCTTGAAAAATTGTAGTTTGCACTATTTAGGTGACATTTAAGGAAACTGACCCTTTTTTCTTCTTTTACTATGTATCATCATTTTCCCCCCAACACGAGGAAGTGGTCCCCAGCTTGCTTAAAGCAAAACAGTGCCCCTTCTCCCTCTCCACCGGCTGCCATCTTGGTCTTTCCTGATACATTAGCAGCACAGCCTTATCTTCAGGCTCACAAGCTGACAAAATATTTCAAGCATGTCTGCCTTCAGAGTGCTGATTCGTTTCTTCCCCTGCCCATTCCCCCAACAAGTCCAGGCAAAGCACTGAGCACAGCACTGAGCTACAAAGCACTGAGTACAGCACCTGTCTGTTGTGGGTGTTTAGTACAAAGTCATCTCCCTCATTATCTTCCTATTACTACCATTATAATTATTTGAATGTGAAGTACTGGTTTAAAGTCCCTGCCAGCTGGGCGCGGTGGCTCACGTCTATAAATCCCAGCACTTTGGGAGGCCAAGGCGGGCAGATCACCTGAGATCAGAAGTTCAAGACCAGCCTGGCCAACATGATGAAACCCCGTCTCTACTAAAAAATACAAAAAATTAGCCGGGCATGGTGGTACGCACCTGTAATCCCAGCTACTCCGTGAGAATCACTTGAACTTGGGTGGCAGAGGTTGCAGTGAGCCAAGATCACACCACTGCACACCAGCCTGGGTGACAGATGGAGACTCTGTCTCAAAAAAATGATAAAATAAAATAAAATAAAGTCCCAGTTCTGTGATCAACTAACCCGAGTTTATGTTCTGAGGAATACTGGACTATATTAAATGTGATTATTCGCATAAAGACTTTAGCATGGGCTCTGGTTAAGCGACCTCTTAATGAGTATCAGCTAATTTTATTAATAACAGGTACCAGTTAGTCTTCTTTTCTTCAGTTTTTTCCACCAGTCTTGATTGGTTCTACATATCGTTTCAAATAAATCTTTGTAAATGTGGTTTTGTACATTCTTGCTTTAAAACATGGCATGGCACTTCACTACCATTCACTTCCCTGGCTGGGTACCTGCCCCTGCCACCTACTTCCCCACTGCAGGGCTAGAACAGCCTTCTGACTTATACAAGAAAGTTTTTCCATCTACCCTAAATGGCTGCACCTCTTTCCTACCTTGGTGCCCAATTTCTAGGTTTTCTTTCAACTGATGGAGGGGTTTAGTCCTGTGCATCCATTGCACTCCTCAGCTTGGCTGGCAGTGACTCAAGGGCAGAATCCGAGTCCCACTCCTGGTGGGTACTCAATGTTTGCTGTTGTTGACAAAATAAAATGAGGAAATGCTATACAGCCCACAAAGCATGGCAGAAATGAAAGGTGTTCATTAAAATGTCACTGTTACATAGATTATTAATCATCATGATCAGAGAACTCTGAAGTGCGTTAACAATGAATCCAGGATCCTTCCAGGTGATCTGTCTTTCTTTCTGGCATTTGTCACTTAATGAATCTTGAATATGGAGCCTGTGAGAGCTCTAGTTTAATAAAGATCCAAGTAACAGGCTGTATTCCGCTCTCCTGAAAAAGTTAATAGAGCGGGAACTCCAAAAAGCCCTGGGCCAATGCTGTGAAAAGCAAAGAAGTTTCTCAAATAAAAATACACACCCGTACCAGTCTCCCCAATGTCAGTAACTTAGTGAATCTTAAAACTTCTTAATCAGGTTGTATGAGCCTTTGTTTATTTTTCTCCCTGGAGTTAAGACAGCCTTATTTTTAATTTTTTTAAAAAATACATATTTCTTTTCTTTTTCTTTTCTCACCTTTAATGCCAAATTTGATAACAAAGACAGCTTTAACCAAAGAAAAACACCACTAGGTTTACTACGATGCTTTTAGAAGTCAGGATTTGGGATGTGCAATGAAAAGATGTCAGTTGGACAAATATAAAGTTCTTTTCCACATACATGTCATAAGTATGTTTTATAATATACTAGTGAATGTTTACTTTCACAGTATTAATGGTACATTTTGTCAACAGGGCAAGCTTTGATTTTTTTTTTTTAATTTTTGGTATTTCAATTATTCCCTTAAGGTAGGGAGAATCTACTTTGAATAGTTCTGTATTATAATTCATTTTTTTAAAAAGCCAGTTTATGGTTTCACATCTGCCAGGCCAATTAAACCTACCAAAACAATTCTCTATAATTGGAGACTTCCTGCTGAAAAGGACATTTTAAATTCTTTTTTCTTTAACTTTGTATTTTGAAGTTATTTTAGACTTATACAAAATTACAAAAATAGTTCAGAGAGTTTCCATCTACCCTTCACCCAGACTCCTCAAATATTAACATATTGACATAACCATTGTGTGACTATCAAAACCAGGAGATTAACTCTGGTGTGACCTTCCTAGCTACAGACTTTACTTGGATTTCCCCAGTTTCCCCACTGCTGTCCTTCTGGCCAAGGACCAACTCCAGGACCCCACTTTCCATTCAGTTGTATCTTCTTATTTCCTCTCCAATCTGGGACAGTCCCTCAGTCTTCCCTTATCTTTCATGACCCTGAAACTTGTAAAAAGTACTGGTCAGTTACCTTGTAAATGTCTTTCAATTTGGGTTTATCTGATGTTTTCTCATGATTGAGAGTAAATTGTGCATTTTTTTTTTTTGCAAGAATACCACAGAAGTGATGTTGGGCTTCTCTCAGTACATGATAACAAGGGCGTATGA